GTGTGTGTGTGTGTGTGTGTGTGTGTGTGTGTCTGTGTGTCTGTCTGTCTGTCTGTCTGTCTGTGTGTGTGTGTGTGTGTGTGTGTGTGTGTGTGTGTGTGTGTGTGTGTGTGTGTGTGTGTGTGTGTGTGTGTGTGTGTGTGTGTGTGTGTGTGTGTGTGTGTATGTATGTATGTTTGTATGTGTGTGTGTCTGTTGTCGATGTTTGAGCAGGGTAAAAAGGGGGTCAGTGTGGAAAGACTGATGCTGGTCTGTAAAGAGGCTGACAGACGAGAATAAAAAGGAAATGAAGATACAAAGAAGCCTTACCAGAATTGAGTCAGACCAACTTCAAAGTATCAAAGAATGACTGATTGTCAGAGGCCAGGTGTGGTGACCTGTTTCATAGAATGCAAAACATTTGAGAAGTAAAACAGTGTTTTAATTTAAAATACATTTTGCAGTGTATTGAAGCCTTGAGTCCATTTCAATCCAGTAACAAACAGCTCTAACAATAAATAATATTCCTCAGTAAAAAATAGTCAGCGGTTGTGTGTGTGTGTGTGTGTGTGTGTGTGTGTGTGTGTGTGTGTGTGTGTGTGTGTGTGTGTGTGACTGTGTGTGTGTGTGTGTGTGAAAGCATTTAGTTGTCCAGGCTCAACAGGAGAGCAGTCCCTCTCTTGATCCAATGGTCTGGGGTCACAGCTCCAGATTTGAGTTCTATACCGACCACAAAAGAAGGCCGGCCTGATCCCCCCGAACGCACCGGGAAGTAGTAACACGGACACAGGTACACACCTGCACACACAAGAGAAACAGACAGAGTTGAGACCACAGTGCATGACATCACGGACTATATACAAACAGATGGAGAAAATCAGAACTGATGATGAATAGTGCAGAAATCCCCCGCAAAAGTCCCAAACTACTCACCCTTGGCCGCCTTCTTGCGGTTCTCCACAGGCTTGAAGTGGATGGTTGGGATGGGGCAGACCATCTGCATGGGCTCAGCCTCCACTAGACAGGAGTTCCTCTTGTCCCAACCAGCCCCCTCCAAGAACAAACCTCGGACAAATACTCCATCCTGTAGGGGGAGGCAGGGAGTGAGTAGGGAAACAAGGGAGAAAAGGGAGGGGGGAATCATGAAGTACAAGGTGAGATATTAACACTTGGTTGGAGGTCACATTTCGTAAACAATGTTTATGACACACAGCCATGCCAATTAGTTAATGTAAAGTGGGAGGGGTGAAAACAAAGGAAAGATAAAGGCTGCAGGGGAGAGGGAGGAGAGAAGAGAGAGTGAAGGAAGAGGCAACGAGGAGGAGGGGAGAAGAGCAGGGAGGAAAGGGAAGAGAAAAAAATGAGATTGGTAAAAAAAAAAGAGTGGGAAGCAGTAGGTCATGAGGGAGAGAGTGAAGTAAGAGAACTGCCAAAGAGAAAGATGGAGGGAAGAAGAGAGAAGAGGGAAAGGACAAAAGAAGAAGGAGGGGAAGAGAAGAACAAACAAGGAAAGATAAGTTCTGACATTAGTCAAGAGTCAGAGAGCTTAAAAGAAGCAAGAAGGAAGCAGCACAAAAGACAGGAAGAATGAAACAAGATGAAGTGAGTGAGAAAAAAAGAGCTACAATGACAGACATTCTGAGGGGGGAGCAACAAGACCAATTAAACATCGTCTCTCAGAGTCAAAGTGCTTTGTAAGAGAATCCAAATGCAAGAGCAGATTTGAGGATAAGCTTTGAATGATAATGCGCTTTTCAGGAAAAAAGAGTCAATGTTTGAGTGGAAATGAAAAATGTGATGAAAAGTGCCGATGACAGCTGAAAGCTAATGACTCGGGAAAAAAGTGGTCTGATGGTAAGTATATGGAAATCGTTATGGAAATAGAAGTGTGTGTGGAGGAGGGAGTCACCTTGGGCGGGTAGAGGAGGTTGCTGTTGTCCACAGTGGACACGGTGAACTCCCAAGACAGCGTGTCCACTGATATCTGAAACACCAGAGGGACAAGAGTTAATTAACAAGGCAAGAAGGACATTTCCATTCATTGTAAGCAGAGACATATTTAAATAGTACTAAACAGTAAGTGTTAATGCATGCATGTTAAATATATATTGCTTGAGGCAGCTAATGTGCAGTTACTTTAAGTGCAGTGGTTGTTGGCTGTGAGATGCTGAGAGGCTGAGATTAATGTATGGACTCAACAGAGCGAGAGAAAGGGGAACTCAGCAGGTTCTTTATGCCAAAGCTGCACAGGGGGAGAGTGCAATGTGTTTCCCAGGCTACATCTTGTAGTTTTGATAATTGTTTCACAGTTGAAGCTTCTGTACACATATGTCGTTCACATATTTCCTAATGTATTGAGACTGTCTTCATGCCTATGTGGATGCGGGTGTGTGAACTCTCACGTTGTGCTGTCGAGCAGAGGACTGCAGCACAGCGGTGAGGAAACCGTTGGGAAAGGTGAAGGCAGAGAGCCAGAAGAGGGTGGGGGGCTGGGCCGTCAGTGCCCACTGTGCAAACTGATTGACTCGCTGGCAAAGATCCCGGGTCCACGCTGCCAGGGGCTTCAGTGAGGGGTACGCCTGGTGGACAGAGAGAGAGAGAGAGAGAGGGAGGGAGAGAGAGAGAGAGAGAGAGAGAGAGACGTGAAAATCTACAGTCATTTCACACTGCAGCTGTCGGCAGCCAATTATAATACACGGGTGGTGTTGTATCACATTTTCTCAGGTGAGGTGTGCACGCAGTTAGTTTTAGACTTTTACTTCCTTTGGTTGATAACATATTTACATGATATAACGAGAACCACAAGATATTAAGAACATATTCTGCAATATGATAATCATGATGTAGCCTACATGAAAGTAAAATAATAATTGTCATAGCTGTTTAATAACTCAATTACATTATTGTGTAAAAACATGTCAACGAAATGCATTTCATTAATAAATAAATAAATACATTACTCAGCTACTTGCATGTAAGAAAATTGTGTAACTTTAGGAAGGTTGCCATATCTTCTTTTTCCAGGTTTCTCTGTGTCCTTTTATTTATTTTGTTGACTACTATACAAAACAAACGAACACTTTGTTGCATGTTCACACAACGATTCACACACACATTCTATAGACACACACTAAGTGGACTAGGGGGACGAAAGCATTTGTGCATGTTTGAAACCCACGGAGGGAGCAACCATACCATCAGTGATGTCATTACCTCCATACATTTGCAATATGTTCATGCACATCTCTTCCATATTTTGTACATGCACATATGCTATACAGCCTCAACAGTTACAAAGAACCCCCCCCCCCCACACACACACACACACACACACACACACACACACACACACACACACACACACACACACACACACACAGCAGAGCCTTGTGAAGAAACCAGATACAAAATGGCCGGAGACCGAGAGGCAGGCAGGCCAAAATTAAAGCCATGAGTCTGTGAGCTCAGAACTAATGACAGACTGCCATGCCAAGGAGGGGAGGAGAAGAGAGGGATGGAGGGATGAATAAGGAGGGAGAGTCTGTGAGGGGCTGCTGTTGCTGCTTGGACCAGATGAGGCAGATTGAGAGGGATGAGAGCATGAAGTAGAAAAAAAGGAATGAGATAGAGACAGAGATGAAGTAGACAGTGATTAAACCAAAGTACGCAAAAAAGAAATTGAACAAGTGGTCTGTTTACAAGTGGTCAGTAGAATATAAAAGAGCAGCTCAACTGGAGGACACACACACACACACACACACACACACACACACACACACACACACACACACACACACACACACACACACACACACACACACACACACACACACACACACAAACAGTAATAGAACTAATCTGTCACTTCAACACCCTTTTATTGTCGTCACTGCTTTCTAGTCTGGATCTATTGCAATTGCCGTGCACTCACAAGCTGGGTGATTGGGCCATTGTTTGCTGATTTGCATCTTTATTGATAGATGTAGCAGAATTCCCGTGAAAATAACTGGTTTTGATTTGTTTTGCAATCAGATACTTTGTTTCGCCATCAAAATGTGACACTTTGTTAGATAGGAACTTCCTAGGTGTACTATGATTTACTTTATTCATACTGTATCTATTGATGGTTGCCTACTTGGTCCCATGCTGGTCTGTGTTGTAACATAAAGTATACTACTTGAGAGTATTAGTTTGGGCAAGCAAACTGTGCATAGACAGAATAAAAGGAGGAGGGATAGTGACTGACAATTGTCTTTCTGATTCAAAATGAATTGAAGAATTTATCGAGGATAAAAAAAGTCCTCTTTTTATTTAAGCCTATTATTTTGTAAATGTTCTGTGTGTAAGGCAGTTATATTTTATCATTAAGTGCTGGAAAAAAGATTTTTTGATAAGTATATGCCAAGCAGACAGTATTTTCTTACATTATATTGCGCTTTTTCGCTATGTTACTCAATACTTTTTGCCAAATAAATTACTTGTATAACTATAATTTCCAAGTGTAATGCCTTAATATTTACATTCACATAATTCCAATCTCAATTTAAGTCACCCAATTTCACTACTAATACACATAGCATCTCTATTTAAACAGGCGCATGATTTGCTCCTCTTAGAGTACCACTATAACATGAGATGTGGAGTTCATACATGATGGTCTCCAGCAGCAAGTTGTATCTCTGGATCTCTTGCAGCAGCACCACATTAAGAGGGGTGGGGTTGTCCTGGAGGAGCGACCTTGTGCCCTCGTAGTCGATCATTGCTGGGATCTTCCCACGAACATCTGCCAACAACTCTAATACCTGCAATGACGTTCCAAAGAGCACAAAATCAGATGAGACATGAGGCTCTGACCAAGCATTTGCAGCTGGGTAGAATTAGAGGACTTACAATGGTTCAAACTAAGTCTCTTGATAAACACACTCATACACCAAGAACAGTCACGCTGTAAGCCATGCCACAACGAGCACAATAAAGGAGCGGGATGATGAGATTGCATAGCTGAAAGCGTCATCAGTTTTTGTTTGAACCTAGATCGAGCCTGAGATTGTTGTGCATATAAATAAATGGTTGGTCTCATCTCATGCCAGTCTATGACCTACTCCCCCCTCACCTTATCTTCTCTACTTTGCCCAGCAGCAGAGGAGCTGGTGACCTGGGGCTGCAGGGAGAGCAGGGTGTCAAACAGCGTCCTGGTCTCAGCGATCTGACTGGCAATGTCAGCATTAGAGTGCTGGCCGAACACCTCAGGGTGCTCTGTGGGTGGCAGCATGCTGATGTATTCCTTGTATGAGGCCTGGGCACCGTCACGGGGGATGTAGTAGGAGGTTAAGGAGGAAAACCTGAGAGAAAGGGGTTTGCAGAATACAAAGTCAGGGATCCTGTATGTAATGGTTTACAATTCCCAGTTTCCCCATAGAGATTAATGTCATCTTATTGAATGTACTTCAATGGTATAGCATCAAAAAAACAAATAAAACACTAAATAAAAACAAATACTTCCCCTTTATATTTGTGATTGTTTGGTTATAAATGAAGGAGGGAGTGGAAAGAGAATGGGTACATGTAAGTAATAAAGGAAACAATTGCCCTGGAATAATGGTACTTTAAGGTGTTGAAGTGCAACAATTTGTCAGCATTTTTGAAGTTGTGATATTCTGATTGTGCACTTGGTGGTGCTGGCACTCTGCGAGCTGCCAGGAGCTGCCTGGAGCAGCAGCAGGCAGTTTAAAGTGGCCTCTGGCACATTGACACGGCCACACTTGCTTTTAACATTGAAAATATATTTTGAGGACGGTATGCTTTCAAAGATTAAAATATGTCTAAATATCTGTGTAATGTGTGTGTTTCAACGTCTTACTTGAAGAAGGGCTGGCTTACGGAAGCATCACAGAAGTAGTCGTTGATGTATGTGGTTAGAAGACGTCTGTCCCAGTCATCCGTCACATGACCTCCATAGTTGACCCCAGCAATGAGGTACTTCAGAGCATCCCAGGGAATCTCCTCATACTCCTCCAGGTAGAGACTGAGCAGATTCTCACTCACCTAGAGGGCATCAAAAGGAAGATCTTAACAGGTTCACTTTGAAATGCAAAATACAGAACATAAGTAAAGCAAGTCAAAAATCCTTGCTGCATGAATTATAAATACACAGGGTAATAAATGAATTTGAAATAGATTGTTATGATCAATTACTCTGACAGGGTATTAAATGGCTTTTATAACTTCAGCTGTCAGTATCAGAAGAGGCTCTGACCTCAAAGTCAGAATCGTTGAATCCATAGATAATGTTCCAGCCAAGCTGGAGGAACTTCTTCCTTTCCAGCAGGATGCTGTGAAAAAAGCAGAGGGAGAAGAGCATCTTCCTGTAGAATACTGGTTTGGAGCAGCGGTTGAATTGAGCCTCTGTCACCAGCTGGTACAGACGCTTCATGTTGGCTTTCACACCCTGAGGACAGAAGAGGGCAGTGTTAACACTATGGAAGGTTACATGTAGGATGTTACGATTACTGTTAACATGTGTAGGACAATAACACCCAAATATCTCATGTCTGTATGTGTGAGCGCCTGCACCTTTGGTGGTTCAGTGGTCATCTTGATGCCAGCCTGCAGGATGCTAATGGGAAATTCGGGGTGTGGTGAGGAGCTGAGCCAGAGTCTGAAGTTTGGGTGGGGCTTCTGTAGCGATTCCACCAGCTTATCCAACTCAGGCATCCACGAGAGGGAGAGGTGGCAGTTGGCAAGGAACACCCAGTGACCTGAGCAGAGAAAAACAGGGTGTGAGGTAAACAGGCTGCGGATAATGGTGATTATAGCACCTACAGTATACTAAGTATTCCAAATAAGTGGTTATTTAAATATTTGTGGATATTGGATGTAAAAGTCAAGGAAGGAAGTTGTCTAAATGTAATGTATTTTTTAACCAAATATCATCACTAATTTTCTATAAATCTGACACCAAAAAGCAGTACTTTTTTACAAGGCCCCAAACAAATGGTATTTATTGGATTACACAGAATTCACCTGGAAAAGCATTAGGGTGATACTTCTGAGCCGGTTTAATTAAATAGCTACTAAGACTATTCCAGCCAAATTCTCCATTAGGTTGCGCTTGATATCTTCCTCTGGAATTCACAATATTTTAGACTTCTGGAATGCAAAACGTAGTTATCTTTTGTGTGTTCAGGTAAATTTGTGGATTAAATGACAAGTACACTTTGTCAAGCACAAGCGACCTTTGAGACAAAAAAACACTTATAAGAAACATAATGAAAGATAAAGAAAGAACAACAATGAGGGTCTTACCATTCTTGACGCCCTCCTCTATCATTCTCTTGGCTATTGGAGCCTGTCCCTGGCCCAGAGAGAGAGCGTGGAAGTCCTTGCTCATACCGGAGGCCTCAGCCAGCTGCAGCAGGGCTCCTGTGGGGTCCACCCCAGGGCACAGGACAAAGACTAAAGGAGTCCTGCTGGTAGACTCCTCCACAACCTAGGAAGAGAACAGAGTTAGTGGAACAAAAAGAACAGAGAAAGAAAGTGAGAATAGATGAGCCGACAAGGTGTACGTTTTGTATTGAGTGACAATCAAACAGAATTAGGCACATGGAATGTTTGAAACATTTGTTTCATTCAAATTCAAAGCTTCAAACCTAACAGTCGAGACAGAAGAAGCAACAGGGGTTGAATAGATTACAGCAGACACTCACCGCCTTCATATCGAGAACAGGCGGCTCCACAAAGCGAGAGCCGAGGTTGTTCACTATGAAGGAGGTGACGCACAAGGAGACACGGTCCTGACGCAGAGAGCGCACTATCAGCATCTTCTGGAGCTCGTTACAGTTAGTATCCCAATCACCTGGGAAGGAACCAAAGAGAGGGAGGGTAAACAGGGGTACAAGCAGGCAGTTTGGTAATAAGACAGGAACATGTGTGATTCAAATCAGGAAATCATACTGAACAAAGGCTTTAATGAGGGCAAAGGCCAAGAAAAATCTAAAACAGTTAAATATTTCAGAAGAAATATTCATACTGAATAAAACGTAGTCAAATATAATTCTTACAAATGAAGAAGACATGAGTTCATCACCACCAGGGTAATATGCTGTGAGTCCTTTTTGTTTGCAGTGATATTGTGTACACTGTCCAGTCACAGCCACTCCAGCTGTACTGACATTCTTCCTATTGTTGTTTCAAAAGAAGCTGACCCATAAACACACGTGTCTAATACAGAAACCATGTACAAGTATGCAAAACTTGCTCTATTGTCTCTGTCATACTTCTACAAAACCTTGTGAATGAACAGCGGTTTTTCTCAAACACACATATCAGACATCTGCAATTTAACTTCATTGTTCCTGGTGGGAAATATTTTAGTTTTTAAAAAAATACGCAAGAAGAAAAGAAGAACCTCAACGAACACACACGGACCTGGAAGTGTAGAATTCTCTGGCTCAGCACTGGTGAACCAAAGGTTCCAGTCTCGAGGGTACTGTTCAAAGGAAGCCATGATGCCATGGAAGTTTGGCAGCTTGTCCAGCTCTGTGATGTGGTCCCAGCTGGAGTCCACCAGCCAACTGGTACAGGGGTTGTCCATCTGATCCTCCCTATCGAGAACCTAGAAGCAAACCCATCAATCAGTCCCGCTTTCATCAGTGTATCAATAAATAGACCAAACAACACATCAATCAGAAATTCACTGGCAAAGAAAGATAGTAAAATGAATCCCCTAATGGCTATGGAAATCTTGGGAAAATGGTTTGATGATTTCATTCACAGAGGAATGCCTTTTTGGGCATTACGTGTGTTCCAAGCTTTGAGAACAAAAGGTATGTCCTGTTGGATTATCTTAAATCGAATAAGGCAAAAACAAGAGTGTGTTGTGTGTTTTCTTACGAGCCCCCCTCTGAGGAAGAAGCTGTATTCATCCATGTTGAGTTTGCCAGCCACCTCCAGGATTTTAGCACACATCTGAAAGCTGAAGAGCAGCTTATGGACTTCAAACAGACCACGACATGTGTACCTGCAGAGGAAAACACCTGAGTGAGATCAGGTTTCTGACAGACCATATCAGAAACTTCCAATTTCAATAAATAAACTGATAGAAATGTCTTTATCATGGACCTTGTCTGATTATCAAACATCAACATTCATACAACTTTGATTGCATGCAAACAGACACAATTCATAAAATCCCCTCTTAATGTACCCTTGCTTACTTGTATACAGCGTATGTGTGGTAGTCATTGAGGTTGGTGATCCTCTCCTCCAGCTTGTGGCTGCGCTTGCTCTTTTCTATGCTATGGTTGAACAGGTTAATGTAGGCATCCAGTGAGAACTGGTACATCGGGTCTATGCGTCCCATGTCGTTAAGAATGAAGAAGAGAATGGACGCTCGCTGGGCACAAGAGCGATAGGCCTGGTAAGAGAGATCATTTTAAGTTAAAAACACATACTGTATCCATAAAGGGTTTGATCATAAGACCCAAATCCCCCTCCGCCCCAGTCCCTTCATTCCTACACCTGACCTCTCTGGCAGAGTCAATGTCGATCTCAGTCTGTTCGCTGCTCTCCAGCTGCTCTGAAACCTCAGTGGATGTCACTTTGGATGTCTGCAGGGTGTTCACCAGCTGCACATCATCCAGCAGCGATCCAGTCGCCTCATTCAGCAGCCTGGTAGAGTAGATACACACATTCAACATACAACAAATAATATACAGGACGAGTAAAAACTGTACAATAAACAGAGGGAACTATTATTACTGGTACTAGCCCAATGACCTTAGGATCTCATCCTCCAGCTCCTGAAGGCTTTTCTTGCCGGCTGCAATGCTGATCACCAAAGAGTCCTTCTGTTCTTCAAGCTCTGGACGCTCCTTTCGCACCACAATTCCAAGTAGTTGTGCTTCCAGACCCTGGAAATTCACAATCCCATACACAAAGAGACAGTTTAAGGAAGCAATGAATACTCTCAAACTGTATGTGAACAGAAATAAAAACTCAATTATGAACTGGAGCAAAAACAAATACAAACACACACCTGCTCCTTGACAGCAAAGTTGACAATGGTGGTCTTTGTAGAAATCTCTGGTGTGTAGTGGGGGTTAGACAGTTTGGTGGTGATGTAGAAGCGAAACTCTGGATTGTACTCCACCTCCTTATCACCCAGCTTCAATATCAGCCTACCGCCTTGAAAAAGCACACACAACAACACACCCTAAAAGTTAGCATTTACTAGTTTAAACACTTCGACAGATGCCATTTTATTTTTTTGTGTCAATGTCTGACCTATTCGTGTCAGGGACTTGTTAAGAATTGGATTGAGAGAGGGGTCCAACTCCTCCTGGACATTCTGCAGCAAAACAGGATTCCCAAACTGGATGGATTGCTCCAGCACCCGCAGGTAGTCTGGCATCTGAAAGTCGATCACCTTCAGACCCTGCACATGTGGACACACAGGAGGAGACGCAGGAGAACAGAAAGAGGCAGAGCGCAGAGATAAGTTACGTTATCAAATCAAAGCTTGACATTTTTATTAAAAGTTACGGGACAAATGTCATTTATATCAAAGTCCTTAAAATCAGTTCTAAGTCTTTCTATTATATTATCAGAAAAATACATGTTTGAAAACTATTGGTCTTCTGCATGCAACATTTTAGTTGTAAATATATGTCATTGTTAGATAATTTGACTGAATTCACAGATTTTTTCTGGAAAATCTTCAAGAAATTCGGAAAAAATATAGTACAAATATGTATTATTTCTGCAGAAATGTAATCATTCTACATAAAAGTTAGCGCGTTATTGTGTTAAAGCATTAATTAATTAACGGCGACAGTTATTTTAGTGCGAATTAACAGTTTTTTATTTAATTATTATTATTATTATTTTGAAAGTCAGCTACTCACTGACTCTGAATACACATACAGAAAATCATGCGATTAATCGCAATGACACATTTGAATCGTTTCCCAGCACTAGTAAAGAAAAGACACAATAACATTGAATAGGAATCAGAATACGATCCACTGAGAAAAGACTCACCCTTTTCATCTCCATATTCTTGATCCACTTCAGAGATTGGCCTTGAGGGTCCACCATCAGCGGCCATCTTGAAAAAAGGAAAGGAAATGTTATAAGTCAAAGTGTATCCACAGAATGAAACACATGTTTTGTTTTGTCAACTTAAGAAACTGGAATACAGCTTCTCTTAATAAATAACTTTACTTAAGTGTGTCTACACGTACTGACCGGTTTCCACGAGTCACGATAACTCCATTCTCAGTAGAGAAAGCGTCAGAGGGCAGGCCCTGTATGTTCCAGTCCCTCACTGCTGTGGGCCTGGACAGAAAAACTGCAAAACTGAACCCTGGTGAGCAGGGGATGGCTAAGTCCAGTACCTGAGGAAAAGAAGCAACCAGAGAGCGAGAGGGAAATAAAGATAGAGAGGAGAAAGACAAAGAAAGCGTAGTGTAAATCATGGGGTGTGCTTGTGAAATTACATTCTAAGGATATTACTTTTTACTGAGCTGCGCATGATGTTATTGTATGTTTCTGAGGTGTGTGTCTCACCCCCTGCATCCAGATGGCGAGAAGCTCGTCCCTGTAGTTGGAAAGGAAGGGTCCCATGTAGGACAGGTAAGACGCTGCTAGCAAACAGTCTCCCACCAGGTATCCCATGTTTTCTTCAAGACCCTGAGGAACACACACGCTGATCACAATCGAGTAGGATAAAGGTTCTTGTTTTTGTTGTGTTTGTGTGCATGGCTTACAGTAACTCTCTCCTCCCAGCGAACCCTCTCTCCAGCAAGTCCCGTCACCAGTTTGTCAGCTCGGTCCAGTTTCACCTCCATTTCCTCTGATTTCTGCCTTAAACTCTCCTTCGTGGCCAGCTTCTCACCAAGCTCCTTTTGCAGCTGGTCCAGCTTCTCCGCCACCTGTTCAAGCACACAGACACACATCAAATAAGTTACAACCTTTATATTCGCAAATGTTGCACTAGAATAGGCTGTTTTTGATATGGACTGGGCTCCATACCTCTTGTAGTTTGCTCTGGGCCGAGGCCATGGCAGCCTGTTTCTCTTCAAGCTGGGACGTGGCAGCATTCAGTTGGGCCCGCTTTGGCTCCACCACCCTGAAGGCATTCCCATAAACCTGGAAGAACAACATGCACATCCATGGATTTAGTTTTGCTTTCTATTTGACTTTTTATGTATTCGATTCGATTCACAACATTCCAAAACATTAATAGAATTTCATGAAAATAACTGCAAATGTAATGCTATCTAATGAGAAAAAGATAGCATTACAGGACACAAATAACTGAACCATCAAAAAAGCTAAACTAAAAAACAATATAACAAATACTTCTCATTGTTTTTGTGATAGCTGTTGCTGTGCTTTGTGTTTGCTGCATACATTAAAATACTAACAATTGACACAATCATTTATTACAAATTATGAATTGTAAACTATTATGGCAAGTGTACACCCTCTTACCTCCATGGCTCGGACCCACATGCAGAGGGACTTGGCAGCCAGCGACACCTTGCCGATGATCTCCGGCTGGAAGTCCACCTGCCTGCAGTACCGGCTGATCTTCTTCAACACACGGTCCGAGATGTTGTCCTTGTCGAAGTTAACTAACGTTTTGATGAAGTTGGACTCACCTGTCAGAAACAAGGTCAGATTGTCAGAAAACCAAGAGGCTTAGTTAAATGAATTCTACCTTACCTTTATTTACCTTTTTTTTGTCTATTTACACACATTTTGGGGTAAGCCATTTCTAGTATAAAAAAACGGGTCCACACTGAAAGGATTTCTAATATAGTATTGGTGATTTATTTTTCAGTAACACCTTTTCTTCACTCTGTACACAATCTGTGCACTTCTGTTTTCCCAATCCTCCTCCTCCTCCTCCTCCTCCTCCTCCCTAAATACTGCATGTTGCTGTCTCTCACCTATCTGCCTCTTGGCCTCTGCCCAGGTAGGCTCTTTGCCCAGAAGGGTCATGACCGCCGTCATCACCGTCTCCACCAGGGTCGGGGGGCGGCCATACGACTTGATCTCTGTCATGTCCTTCTTATTGAGAGACTCCAGAGCCTATGTGTGAAAAGAGGAAGGAAAAGGAACATCCACAAAAACATTTGTGGATGTAGGAAGATAAGTCATAATGTTTGACCTCCAGAAAGTACACACACAACAATGACAAGGTGCTTACAGTGTAGCAGAGAAATGGAGCAGTCACTCACACTCATACAGTTCAACAAATATCAAGGGAATTATTTAACTGGACACACTAATGGAGGAAGTGTGAACAGAGATAACGCAGACAGAGGGATGGATTAGTAAAAAGTCAACAGGAAGGAGCCTCACCCTCATGGCATCTTGCAGTGCTGGCAGGACCTCGTCCAGATCTCTCTGTGCGTTCTCAGCCATGGCTTTACACTGCAGCTCTTCTGCCTTGATTTTCTTACTGCTAGCACTCACCACCTAAACACAAACAGAATATGTGTAAGTAGGTTGCGAAACCACATCACTTCCTTGAACAAATGAGTTCTTTAATCCATTAAGTTAGTGCAGTGGTTCTCAAACTTTTTCTGTCAGGCCCCCCCTTTGGAGAAAAAAAAAAGTCGGGCCCCCCCAACACAAATAGTCAGGCTCAGTGGCGGCGCCAGAGATTCTATTTTGGGGGTGCTGTGGGGTAGCTTGACGTTTCATAGAGGGTGCTCAAACATTTAGGGTTTCCCATTAATGTACTTGTCGCTACAGTGGAATGTTCTACTGCAACAATCCCCACACACACACACACACACACAGTGTACCCGCGACTGTTACAATGAAGGCTCGATAATCAGCTCACGGCATATAGGTGTAAGCAGGGGTAAAGTGTTATTTTTATAGGTGGTGTGTGGACCTCACATAGGGGGGTCAGGGGGCAAGCTCCCTTGGGAAGATTTTTAAATATTGAAGTTAAAAGCATCAATCTGGTGCACTTTGAGAGNAGTAAAAGATGTGCAAATAATGTAACGTTCTCAAGTAGCAGCTCTGCCCGCCCGCGGTTTGTTGGGGCTGTAACCTGGTCAGGAGGGTGACGTGGAACGCTGTAAGGGACGGGTGGGAGAGGAGGATGAGTCGATCGAGATTCTAGGTCTTTTGTTTGCTGTGTGTGAGATGAGAGGAGCTGTGTGTGTGTGTGTGTGGTGGTGTGTGTGTGTGGGTGTGTGTGTGTGTGTGTGTGTGTGGGTGTGTGTGGTGTGTGTGTGTGTGGTGTGTTGTGTGTGTGTGTGTTGTGTGTTGTGGTGTGTGTGTGGGTGGTGTGTGTGTGTTTGTGTGTGTGGTGTGTTGTCTTCCTGATCCTCGGCAGGAAAACACATTTCAAAATGCTTTATTTGCAGTGACAGGAACGTGGCATATTGACATGCTCTGGAGTGAGGTGGCTCTCCTCTCTCTGAGGAATGTTCCAGCTCTGAAAAGAGCGCTCAGAGGGGTGAGTAGCTGGATCACAGAATGACTTGGCTATGATGCAAGGGTTGGATACTTTGCCCTTATCAACTTCCACCAAAGCAGGGGACTTTCGGTTCTTTGAGAGGGGGCTGCTCTCGGAAGTACATCAGCACTTCGTTAATGATCGCTTGGTTGCGTGCGTCTTGGATAGATTATTGGCCTCAGTAGGTGTCACTGTCTGTTGAGTCACATCAAGCAGTGAATCGAGAGCTGAAAACAGACCTATTGGATTCTTCTCAGCTGTGTTTCATTGTCAACTGATGGCTGCTGTAGTTTCTTCATTCCTACTGGACTGTAGGGCCAGAGCTTGCACTTTGTTCTGACCACTGAAACTCTCTCTGGTGTCAGGAATTTCAGTTTCGAAATCGTGGTCTAGTGCAGCTGCAATGATCTGTTTGCTTGGGTCATCATCTGTGATGGTGACTCTCTTGACCAGCTTGCAGTGGGTCTCCTCTGAAGCAGCCGCCTGGAAGCCTGCACAGGAGCTGTATCATAGCAGTCGTGGGTGACTCAAAAGCCCTCTGACTAGAAGGAGCAGGGCGGAGACGGTCACATAGTTTCCCCACTCAAGTAGACAGTTTGGCACATTCAAAAGCTTGGATGAGCTTGCCAGTTCATCTAGCAGGTTCCACTGATCGGTCTTGAGGTCTAAGCTAGTGTTTCCTCTCTGTGTTACTGCCGGGTCAGACAGAGTCGCAGTCAGTGGCATCTCTGTTCCAGCAGGCGAGTCACCCATGTAATAAGGTTGCTGTTCCTCCTTGGTAAGAGACATCGTTGGACAATTTTTTGTTCCGGGGTGCCCATCTGTTTCTGCTTTGTTTTCAGCTTGCTGAGACCAGTTCACTACTTTAAAGTGCTCGACGATACACCTCGCTGCTCCCTAGTGCTGCTAAATCTGAGGGTGTTTCAGTGCACGATTGATCAACAACTGTAAAGTGTGGCCTGCGCAAGCGGACAGACACCCACCCATGTTTTTCCTGCAAGATGTTTGCAGCCAGCAACGACTTGGAGCCAATGTCATGAACAACAGCCACAACTTTGCTTAGGGGATCTCAAACTTTCCACAGGCCTGCTCAATCCATGCAGCAATGTTGGTTCCGTGTGCCGTTCTTCGGAGTGGCATGGTTGTGGGCAGAAGCTATTGACTCCCAGTCATCACTTATAACAGTGGGACAAGGTGATGCAAGATATGCCTCTGTCGCAACACTGGGTCCAAGGCATCGTTGTCAGTGCAATCTTGTTTCCTTGGTTGCTTTAAGAGCATCTTTAAGCTTACCAAAAAGTAGCTTCATACTTTCCCTCCATGAAGCTTGTTAAAATGAGCTTCTGGAAGGTTAACGGTGTACCTGGATGGAATGTGGTCGACCATCTGCTTAAGGCCCTCATCTTCAACCATGGATATTGGTCTCATTCGTTAACAAGGCATGTGAGGATCTCTCTGTTAAGACTCGCCATTTGAGGGGTGCGATGAGCCTCTTTCAGGACGCAAACTCATCCGAACACTTTGCTTTGGACCTATCAATGAAAGAACACAAACATCAGCTCTGTATTAATTATCATCAGAATTGTAGTTGGCTATAGTATCGTTTATCTTTGATGGTAGTTACTGACTAATTGCTTAGTGTTAAACCTTGGTGACTAGTAGTGACTGGCTCTAGTCAGACAGCTCACGTTAGCACCGAGTGTCGTGTTTTTGCAGACTGACTAGCGAAGTAAGATTGTGACACTGCCACATTGAGTATATGTGTATATAGTACATGAAATAGATAAAGATATAATCAAATGAACATATGAATTGGAATTGTTAAATGCGCTTCGTCTAAAACAACGAATTAAGGACTTAAAACGAATTGAACTGACTACCATGTTGAATTGATGTATTAATGCTATTATTGAAAGTCTGAAAATCATTATAAATACAAATTCAATCGCATTTTATTCTTGTCATTTCGCAGACCCTTGTTAATTATTATTTTAAGTTTGGAATTAATTACAGCGTCCATAAAGCTCTAGTGTGCTCTACTACGCTGTAAGCTTGGCGCTGTTGTAGTCCTTGGTGGACACGCAGCCTCAACATAACTGAAATAGCGTTTGCTTAGCAAGCATTAACCATGAGACGTTCTGTTTTCCAACATGTAAGCTAACGTAAACATGACTATGGCTAACTTGCTCAAACTTACCCATGATCCAAAGTAGCAGTCCTCACGGTTCCAGGGTGCTTGCGTTTTAAATGCTCGTGCATCACTGTAGTGCTGCCGTGTAATGCCAATTCCCCTTTACAAATTCTGCATTTCACTGACTTCTTTGGCTTGTCGTCTGTGAAATACTCCCACACTTTCGAAACTCTCGGTCTCGCTTTTTTGAGCTCTTCATCACCCTCATTCTCTCTCCTTTCCGCCATCGTTCGTATTCTTTCTTCTTTGTTGTTAGTACAGAATGCAGTCATGGCAGACAATGGAGAGTATACTGCCCCCAGCACTTCCTGTAGTGCATTGCAGTTACAAATGAACATTTGCGCAGTTTTGAATTAACGTTACCGGCTCTCTGATTGTTTTTATACGACGCGTCGACACTAAAATTCCGCGTCGACGAATTTTTATGATCGACGTCGTCGATTATGTCGACTAATCGTTGCAGCCCTAATAGTAACCACCAGTTTGCAGCACTATGAATAAAATACTTGGGTGCTGACTCCTTAGATACACATTTGGGTTACTTTAAAAAAAATAAATAAAATTAAATCCATAGTTAATTGCCATATCAAGATTGGACATATAAGAACATTCCTTTTGAATATAGAGGCAATGTTATGGATTAAACTAAGTCAAACTCCAACAACCAGTAGTAGTAGTAGTAGTAGTAGTAGTAGTAAGAAAAGCTTACATGGTATTGCTTTGTGAGTTGCCCTCAGTGCCGTACAAATGGTATTTACCCAAAGTCTTTCTCCCAATTGTGCCATCTTTTTAAAATATCTTTACAAAGTGTACAATATTATTAAAATCGCCTCAAAAACATAACAGTGTTGAACCAGCAATTATGTCCCATGGAAATTGTGAAATGCTGCTAAATGTGTTAATAACAATGTGTCAAACAATGGATGACTGTAGGATTTGAGTATTTATCCTGCGTAGTATCAAAAAACAAAGCTACTGCAAAGCACGCTGCTATCTTGGTATACCCATTAATTTGCATGTCTATTGTGAGTTCATGTTCTGCATGTTCCTACGTTGATTTGATCAAACCATGTTCAGAATAATCAACACATAATGTTCCGTATGTCCTAGGAATGGATCAAATCCACTGCATATTTAAGTCCCTGAACAATATATGCAAAAACATGCTAATCCCGATTCCTATTGTTTTACTCGTCTATGGTCACATGAGACATACTGTATTTTTACGCATTCTAATCACGTAACAATTAAGACAAGCTCGGGTAGGCGTCATTTTAAGAAAAAAAAACAATATAACATTGTACACACTAACTTCTGCCTCTGCGTTATTCCAAGTAAAAGAACAACTGTGTGCTACTAATTAGGAGCCAAGCTTTTGTTTCCTCGGGTAAAACTGAAAGAGCCCGAGTTATCTCGCTGCCCTCCTGCACCAGCATAAAGTAAGTGCCGCCTGGAGAGAGAAGCACTTAGATCCAACACTAGCCCCCATGCAGTGATAAATATATTACTTTTGAGTAGCAGGCAGCTTAATGGCTAGCAATGGCATTAAAAATAAAGCAAATATTGACAGTCTGGGAATATTTGCTTTGGGTGTGGTTGGGAAATGGTTTCTAAAGGAAAGAAGAGGTGTCAGGTATGGGGAGGTGTGTGTGTTCGTGTGTGTGTTTGTGTGTGTGTGTCTACTTTGTTGGCGGCTCATCTATAATGTACAAAGACGATTAAGTTTGAGCAGCGGCTGGGGCAGATAGACAGTCAGTTGAGTGGTGGGTTGCAGATAAGAATGAATGCAAATATACAGCAAGAGTG